TTGAGGGCTTCCTTGTTGTCTGTCTTCATCTGCTCCAGTGTACGCTCCGTGAACACAGGGATCTCCATCTGGTTTGCCCGGTGTCATGGCACCTGGCATAGTGTCTGGCCAGTGGTAAGCACTCAGTAAATTTGTTTTAACTAGTTTGTGCTAAAATTATTTGTCTATTCACAACAGAACATTTATGATGTTATCATTTTTATGATATTAAACCCAATACTGAGGTGAATATTTTCACACCTACCATCTTGGGTACACTTTGGCCTGGGGGGAAATGGCCTAGTTTTAGGGCTAGTTCAAACTTTAAGATACCCAAATGGCTCTCCAAAACAGTTCTGTCACATTTACACTGCTGCCAGCACAGTGTAAGGGTTTCTGTCGCTCTACAAAATCCCCAACTTTCCGTATCCTATGACTTTCTGAATTTTGCCAGTCTGTGTTTAAATGATCAAACCACTGAGTTTAAACATTGAGCATCTTTTCATAGATCTGTTACCTGTTCATCTGTTCATATTCTTAGTACACAGGTTGTTTGTGCGTCCTCACAACAACCATTTATGTTTTCTTTATATTCTTGTCGTTGTTGGCATTACATATATCATCTCCCTGTCTGTGCGGTTTTTGTTTGCTTTTTTTCCCTTTTCATTTTGAAATAATACAGATTCACAGATGTTGCAAAGACAGAGTATAGAGAGAGCTTGTGCACCCTTCCCCCAGCTGCCCCAGTGATCATATCTTAGGTAGCTATAGAACAGCATCAAAGTCAGGACATCGCCATTGGTTCAGTGCATGCATAATTCTGTGTCATTCTATCACATGTGCAGATTTCTGTGACTGTCATTGGAATCAAGATACCAAACTTCAGTCATGCTACCCATTTTAGTCACCCCCACCCCACCTCACTTCCCACCACCACTAACCCCTGTAACCACCAATCTTTTCTCCATCTCTATAATCCTGTTCTCCTGGCAACATTGTATAAGTACAATTACACAATCTGTGACCTTCTCCACTCCACAGAGCAGTGCCCTTAAGACCCATCCAGGTTGTTGCACTATCAATACTTTGTTCCTTTTTGTTGCTGAGTAGCATTCCATAGTGTAGATGGCCACAGTATGGTCTTCTAGACTGTTCCAGTCACCTGTTAAGTGGCATTTCAGTTGATTCTGGGTCTTGGCTATTACACATGAAACTGCTGTGAACATGTGTGTGGGTTTTTGCGTGGACATGAGTTTTAATTTTGTGGGTTGATCATACAGTGAGTATATGTTTCATTTGTTAAGAAACTCAATCCAGGGGCGCCTGGATGGCTCAGTCATTAAGCGTCTGCCTTCGGCTCAGGTCATGATCCCAGGTTCCTGGGATCAACCCCTGCATCAGGCTCCTTGCTCTACGGAAGGCCTGCTTCTCCCTTTCCCACTCCCTCTGCTTGTCTTCCCTCTCTCCTTCCTGTCTCTCTCTGTCCAATAAATAAATAAAATCTTTTAAAAAAGAAAAAAAGAAACTGATTTGTTTTCTAGGGTGTCTGTTTTCCCAGCAGCAGTATATGAAAGATGTGATTTTCCTGTACCTTTGCCAACGTTTAGTGTTGTTGCTATGTTTTTATCCTAGCCATTGTGACAGGCGTGGTCTTGGTTTCTATTTCCCTGGTGCTTGGTGGCGTGGAATGGAACACCTTCTTCTGGGCTTATTGGCCATGTGTACAGTCCTCTTTGGTTAAACGTCTCTTCATGTCTTCTGCGCATTTTCTTATTGGGTTTTTTTTTTTTTTTTTTTTTAACTATAGAGTTTTGGTAATTCTTTATTTTCCCAGAAACCGGTCTTTGTTGAATCTGCTATCCGCAGACATGTCCTTCCCATCTATGGCTTGTCTTCCCGCTGTCTTATTACAGGCTTTCTCATAAAGCAGAAGGTTTCACTTCTCATGAAGTCTGTTTGCCACTTGTTTGTTTTATGGGTCATGCTTTTGGTTTACCAGAGTCATGGACTTTGATCTTCACCAAGCCCTGACTTCAAAGGATCTTTTTCCTATGTTTTCTTCTAAAAGTTTTATATTTTTACATTTTATACTTAAGTCTGTGATCAGTTTTGAACTACCTTTTGTTTAAGGTGTGAGGGTTTAGGGTGAAGGTTTGTTTTTTCCTTACAGATACTCAGTTGGCATCACTCGTTGAAGAGGCTGTCGTTCCTCCATCGAATCGCTCTCGCACCTTTGCTAAAAATCAGTTGGCTCTACTTCTGTGAGGCTGTTTCTGGATTCTTTCTTTTGTTCCATTCGTCTATGTGTCTGTCCCTCCACCAGCACCACACAGTCTTGACTAAGGGAGCCATAATAAGTCTTAAGATTGGTTAGAATGATTCTTCCCACTTTATTCTTTTTCAAGTTTGTTTTAGCTTTTTTAAAGCTGTGTTGCCTGTCTACATAAATTGTTCATAATCTTGACAATACCTGTAAAACCTCTTGCTAAAATTTTAGTGGACATTGCATTAAACCTGTATATCACTTTTGGGAGAATCGACATCATGTTTATATTGAGTTTTCCAGTCTATTAACATGGTATGTCTCTCCATTTATTCAGATCTTCTTTAATATTTTTCACCAGTATTTTACACTTTTCAGTGTACTAGTTCCCCTCTGTTCCTGTTTCTTTCTTTGTCTGTTTTATCTTGAACGGGCGTTATATTTTTCAGATGTATTTTCCCCATCGATTGACATGACCCGGTGACTTTTCTTCTTTAGCCAGTTACTGCGGGAGAAGACATTGATTGACTTTCAAGTACTGACCTAGCCTTGCACCCCTGAAATAAATCATACTTGGTCATGATGTACATCTTCTTGTTACGCATTCCCAAATTCTATTTGCTAATATTTTGTTAATGCTCTGTGTCTATATTCATGAAAGATATTGGTCTATAGAGTTGTTTTTCTGTACTATCTTTTGATATTGGGATAAACTGACTTCATAAAACAAATTGCCTCCACTTCTCTGGTGGAGGTTGTACAAAATTGATATTAATTCTTACAGTGTTTGGTAGAAATCTACCCTAAAACTATCTGGGCTTAGAGATTTATAGTTCTAGGACTATTCAAATGATCTGTTTATTATTAGGTTAGTTTTGCTTATTTGTGCTTTTATGAATTGGCCCATTTTTTAAACTTTTTGTATCTTCGTTTATTTCAAGCACATTGTAGTTTTTCATTTTTTTTAAGATTTATTTATTTATTAGAGAGCATGCGTGCTCACAGTGGGGGGTGGGGGGCAGAGAGAGCAAGAGAGAAACTCCAAGCAGATTTGCGCTGAGCACAGAGCCCAGTGCGGGGCTTGATGTCACGACCCTGAGATCACAGCCCGAGCCGAAACCAAGAGTCGGCCACGTAACCAGCTGCGCCACCCAGGTGCCCCGTACTCGTTTGCTTATGACAGCGGCTTTTAAAACTTCTACTAAGGACACCTAGGGGGCTCAGTTGGTGAAACGACTGCCTTTGGCTCAGGTCATGATCCCAGAGTCCTGGGATCAAGTCCCATATCAGGCTCCCAGCTCCATAGGGAGTCTGCTTCTCCCTTTGACCTCTCCCTCTCATGCTTTCTCACTCTCTCTCTCTCTCAAATGAATAAATAAAATCTTTAAAAAAAAAAAAAAAAAAAAACTTCTATTGATTGTCTTTTTTCATTCATTTTAAGATCTTCCTGATTCTAAACAGTAAATGATTTTTGGTTGATACTTGGACATTTTGAATATCCTGTTATGAGACTCTGGATCTTATTCAACCCTTCTGTTTTGTCTGGCTTCCTGTGGCATTGCTTCAGCAGAAGGGGCAGAGGCAACACTGTGGTCTCCAGGGGCCCCATGCAGTGGGGGCAGGGGTCTCATCGCCATCTGGCAGGGTGGAAAGTTCTAGCTCCCTGTTTGGCCTTCTTTGACCCCAGTGCATCTTGGTAATGTTGTTGAGGCACCTCATTATGTCCTCAAAGAGTGGGAGTCTAAGCTCTCCACGCAGGCTACTGTTTCTCCTGTGGTGTTTGCATGGTGGCTGTAATCCAGATATTTTTTGTCCTAGGCACTGGGTATACAGCAATCAACTAAAATTTCATAAACTTCTTTCGTGGGCCTCCCGTCCTAGTTGAGAGAAATAGACTGTCAGTAAGTAAAATACGGACTGTCTCTGTTGTGATTACGCTCAGGGCAGACATAGAGTACAAGGAGAGCTAGACCTTGCCTGTCACAAATAAAATCATCAGGGAGGGTGTCATTGCTCAGGTGACATTTGAGCGAAGCCCTGAAGGACCTGCAGAACGTTAGGGAAATGGTTTTCAGGTGAAAGGCCAGCCTCCCTGGCATCAGTTTCGCATGAAGAAGCAGGGGTAAGGGTGTTTGTCAGCACCGTGCGGATGCGGAGACGGTGGTCCAGGAGCCGCACGTGTACTGCCGTACACACGTGTATGACATCAGCTGTTTTATCATGAGGGTGTTAATTCTGATTCCATGTTCCAGGCTTGGAGGATGGGGTGATGCCACTAACTGGATAATTCAGGGACAGGGACAGGGTTAGTGGGTTAAAGAAACTCACTTTTAGATTTATTGAGTTTATGGTTCACACAGACTTCTCCAGTGTAGACACATGGCAAAGCTCCAAAGATAGGTTTCTGTTTCTTCAGCTCATAGTAGTGACCAGTTGCTGGTGGTCATTACAAGTGTGCGTCCTGTCTGGCTGTGTCTGCCCTGGAAGGTGGAGTCCCTGCCCTCAGGCAAAGCAGCTGTGGGTGCTGGATGGGTGTTACAGCTAAAGGGGGCCAGGGCCTTAAGGGGAGCCAGGAAGAGGGTAGGTGGGCAGTTCCTGAGCATTGTCCTAAAAGGCAGCTCCGTGGCTGTGGAGTGAATGGGGGAGGGGAGCCACAGGTGGCCCTACGTTGTCAGCCTGGATGGGGTGATGATGCCTTGGGGCACGGAGGAGGGGGCTTGGAGCGTGTGCCTGACCACCTTGCGCACTGTCCTTGCAGACTCATGGAGAGGTTTCTCATGGATGGATTGTATCCTTCAAGGTGTGCGGAGCCCTTGTCCCCTGACCCTTCCCCCTCCTGCCCCCTCAGCCTCACTGTGCGCCACTTAGCTGCTGAGGTCCGGGAGGGGTAGGCGAGTGAGTGCCCGGGGTCCGTCCATGCTCGCGTCTCGCCCGCGGCCCGCACAGGATGGGCGCTGCGTACTTTGGAGCTTCCTGACGTCTGCATTTGCTTTCTATCAGGAAGAGAGTAGGATGGCTGTAGCTCCAGCTTTTGTGCCTGGATTCAAACTCCACCTCCACCTCCTCATGAGCCCTGGTAGCCTCTCCGACCTCAAAACTTGGGCTGACATTTCACACTTCTCTGGTGGGAATGAACTTTGTAAAACAGGACCTGCGCCCTCCTCCCGTGGATTGTCTGCACTGGGTTTGGAGGGAGACACTCCCTGGCAGCCAGGATGGTTTTAAAAAGCTTCCCGGGTGGATCTATGGAGAACTGTGGCAGGAAGACCCTCCTCCCTGCCCTGGGTCCTGCCCCCCGCCACCCCCAGGAGCTGAGTAGATCTTGCTTCACCTCATACCACGTGCCCCTCCGCCCCCGCCCGCCCGCTCCTCCGGCTTCCTGGTTAAACCGCCCCGCCCCTCGCGGCCTCGGGAAGTCTCGTTCCCCAGGATTTTGTCGGGGTTTCACACACAGGCCGTTCATGAACAGCTTGTCAGCTGTCTGGCTTCTGGAGGCCTTTTTCCTGGAAGGGTCACGTGCTGCCTAAGTCTGCGTCTCCTCTTGGGCCTGTGGGAGCCCCATCCATAAAGGGACTAGGGCAGCCTACATGATACTGGTGGTGACGGCTTCTCTGTAAAATTCCACTCTGTGTTGTCCCCGGTACTTAGACGGCCAGGACACATCCCAGCGTCGCCTGCCCCTCGCCTTCCCAGGGAGTTTGTGCCCGTGATGTTTGAAGCTGATCCTCTGTCTGCAACATTCATTCAGTTTAAAATATGAAGAATCCAGAAAGAAAAGGAGAGGGCCAGTTTCATCTTGCAGAGCCCCACCCCAAGCACCTTCCCTGCCTGCCTTTTGTTCCTCTCTGTTCCTTAACCTGAATGCAGTCGGCCACAGCAGCTGTCCACGTACGCCCTGACCCTGTACAAGCACACAGCCACAGTGGATGGCAAGACAGTCCTTGTGGGTAAGCAGCACCAGACCGGGCCATGGACTCTCGAGGGAGAGGAGAGGGGAGGGGAGAGAAGTCCATGGGAGAGAGGCAGGAAGGAAGTGAGACCTCAGCAGAGAGCAGGGGTGGTAGGGAGGAGCCTGGGATCCTGGAGCCCAGGGAACAGGGGAGGAGGTGCACAAGGCCTCGGTCCAGCTCTCTGACCTGGTATTCTAATCAACCAGTGGAAAGAAATAACAGTTGTGGTCTGAGTATTACCTTCCACAAAAGGTTTTGACTTTCTGTGATGTCACCGCCTCCTGCTTGGCTAGGCCACGCATCCTGCCTGGCTGTGTCTACCATCGGTGGCCAGCACACATGGGAAGTCAGCGTAGTTCGACGTTGAAGGGCTCTGCATCTTGGGGATGGGAGAACTGGGAAACCTGCCTTCTCCCTTTCAGGACTTCCTGTCTGCATGCTCCTTCCTCCTGGCCTGGCCACGTGTTTCCCTCTTACTCACTGCCATGCACACACACGTACACAGACCTTCCGTGGCACCCCCAGGTGCATTGTGTCCTGATGACGCACACGTGTGAGATCTGCGGCCTTTATTCCTCCCTGTCCTCCCACGTGTTGTGTCCCTGCACACACAGATCTGCACAGAGATGCTCTGTGTGTCCGGGTCTCTCTGCCCTCCAGCCGAACCAGACAGAGTTGTGTTCCTGTTGCAGACTTTTGGGACACGGCAGGCCAGGAGCGGTTCCAGAGTATGCACGCCTCCTACTACCACAAGGCCCACGCCTGCATCATGGTATGAGACCCGCCGGGCAGTGGACAAAGGCTCTGTGAAGCTTGCAGGGTGACCCAGCAGTGCTGAGCCCCCCTCACTAAGGCTGGGTACTGGGAGAGAGGGGATCAGGGCAGCCTGGGGAGGTTCCAGAGTGAGAACATGCCCGGGTGAGCTTCTCTTCAAGTGGGGCTGGATGAGGGACCCCCATCCAGGGGTGGAGCACCTCCAGGGCCTCTGCATCAGGCTTGGCATCTAAGAGGCAAGGAAAGACCTTCCCTGGTGGGAGCCACCTGTTCCAACAGGCTTCCAAGGTCCCCTCAGCCCCATCACCTGGTCCTGCTCCCAAACGAGCCCCTCTCCTCTGTGCTGTCTAAAACACAGTCTTCGGGGGCTCCCCATAGCCGTAGGGTAAAAACTGCCATACGAGGACCTGAGAGAGAGCTAAAGAAGCGCGGGAGAGCTGTGCAAGCCTGTGTGCGTAGGGCCCCTGCCCAGAGCCCTGGCTCCATTCTCCAGCTCCCTTATCCCTTAACACAAAATCTCTTGACATTTTCCAAATTGTAATATTAGTACCTGTAAGAGGACAGAATGAGAAGGCGACTGGGTACGGCACGGGGGGCAGTGCAGGCCAGCAGTCCCACCTGGAGGCTCACATGGTCAACGCCTCTGACCCTGGAGAAGCAGGAGGGGAGAGCCCAGCCATGTCTGTCCCACTTCTGCACTGGCGTTTGGAGCTCTGCGCTTACCTCCACTCTCTCTCTGGGAGGAACACCCCCCCCCCCGCCCCGCCCCGCCTCGGACACCTCTCCATCGGCTCCATTTGGACCCTCCTCTGACGCCTGGGCATTCCTTCATGCCTTTCAGTGCAGCTGTCTGCTGCATGGGGCCTGGCAGGTAGAAAGTGCTCGCCTTGCGGTGACCATGTGGGATCCGATAGTCCCAGCGGGAGCTCCACTCAGAGACTGGATGGGGCTGCTCCTCGGCCCCGCCAACTGTTCCTCAGCTCACAAAACAAGATCAGACCTGGACGAAAGGTGACTGATGGTGATCGTGGGAGGCAGGCCGGTGTGAAGCAGATTGTGGAAAACTCATTACCAGTGTGATTTATAGGAAGTCTTCATTAGGGATTCAAGACAACGTTGTCATTTGTTGATATGGGGCCTAGGTGTACGGTGGAAGGGCCTCCCAGGCGGACCTCCTGCTGCCTCAGCTGCGACAGCTGCTGCCCCAAGCCCCCTGCCATGCAGAGCAGCCCCTGTGCTGGGTGAGACGCATTTACTCCCATGAAGGGAGAGCAGCCATTCCAGCAAGTCCCCGGGCTGTTCTGGATCCACGGCTGTGCTGGGGCCATGTGGGCCTGAAAGCAGGAGGCTGGCCTTTAAGGAGCTCTGGCCAGGGGTTTGAGGGCCCCGTCCCTGCAGCAGTCCTTCCAAGCACGTCAGGACCCCTGGCCTCCCCTGCCCTTAGAGCGCGTCTGCCGTACTTGTGCATGTTGCTATTTTAAAATAGGTAAAAACTATCCACTGTAAAATGCTAATCAAATTACAAGCTACACAATAATAAAAGATAGTCGCTCCAACTCCGGCCACTGCAGCGAGAGGGACCACTGCGCTGTGCACCCCACCCTGGCAGGTGGGTGGTCACAGAATGGCTCCAGCTTCCCAATCAACCAGAACACACAGACCCGGAGCCTTGAGGCCGAGCAGCTCCTTCCCTTCAAGCATCCAATTCGCCTCCAGACTGTGGGCGTGAGCCAGCAGCCGCAGGCACAGGTGTACAGGTGGTCCTGACACGCAGATCCGGCCAGTGAAAACCTGCCACCTCCCCTGTGCAGACCATCACCCAGAAGGTCAGGGCCACCCTCCGCGGCATCAGGCACGTGACCTGCAAGAACAGGGACCAGCATGATGGGCACGTGGCTGCTGCTTGCGGAATTGCACCATGCTGAGCGCCCCGACGCCCATGGTGGGGACGAGGAAGCCCGCTGCCCCACCAAGAGCTCCTGAGCGCCTGCCCCCACTTCCAAAGTAATAAAGATGTCAGCCACCTTCAAATAACAAGAATAGATAAAAATTACTTTTAAAAGGTTTAAGATACAAAATAACAAGAGATTAAACAAAAGTTTCAAAGTTAAAAATGTATCGATAGTGGGTGCCTGGGGGGCTCAGTCAGTTGAGCATCTGACTTGATTTCAGCTCAAGTCGTGATCTCAGGGCCATGGGATCAAGCCCCGTGTCAGGCTTGTGCTCAGCAAGGAGTCTGCCTGAATTTCTCTTTCCCTCTCCCCTCCCCCGCTTGCACTGTCTCACTCTCAAAAAAATAAAATCCTTATTTAAAAAAAAGTAAATAAAAATAATAATCTTTTAAAAGTACACTGATAGTAACCATGGGAAATCTTGGAGGCATTTAAAGTTATTACAAAGGAATTCTTTTAAAAGATTCATTTAGTTATTTTAGAAAGAGCATGTGCAGGCAGTGGAGAGGGGAAGGGCAGAGGAAGAGGAGGAGAATCTCAAGCGGACCCCCCACGAAGCATGGAGCCCGACGTGGGGCTCAGTCTCACGAGCCAAAGATCATGACCTAAGCCAAAACCAAGAGTCAGACACCCAACCAACTGAGCCACCCAGGTACCCCGCATAAGGAATCTCAAGACAAAGTTTGAGTAATACCAGTCATAGACTAAGAAACAAAACAAAAGATTTAGAGATTGCAACAGACTATATTGATCAGTGCAATGATACACCCTAGATAACAGATACACCGATGGCAAGATGACAGAAAAGGAGTAAACATTTTAAAGGCACCTTTTGGATCGGGAGGTTCTGGGGGCTTCCCTGGGAAGGGCGGGCCCAGGGCCGCTCAGCGGCTGGTGTGTGTCAGGGGTGGTGGTGCGCAGACCCCGACGGCCTGAGCTATTTTCCGTCCTCTGTTCACTGCAGGTGTTCGACGTGCAGAGGAAAGTAACGTACAAGAACCTGAGCACCTGGTACACAGAGCTTCGGGAGTTCAGGCCGGAGATCCCATGCATCGTGGTGGCCAATAAAATTGATGGTGGGGCCATCCCTGCATCTGGGTGTCCATGTCCATGGGCAAGCCACCACCACCCATTTCCTCCTCCATTCCTGGGGCAGTGAACCTTCAGTGATCTGTCCTCCTTCCCAAAATACAGCCCTTGTTTGCTCTCCATCAGTCTCTATCCAGTAAAGATCCCAACTGAGCCAATCTTTCCTCTTTCCAAGACGTAGATCCCTGTTAAATGAACTTTTTCTAGGACATGTCCTCTGATTGCCCCTCCCTGTCCCACTTTCTGGAATGGTCTCCGGCGACCTCTCCCTTTCCCCTAACGGACAGGCCAATGTCCTACCTTCTCTTTACAGCAGACGTAAAGATGACCCAGAAGAGCTTCAATTTTGCCAGGAAGTTCTCTCTTCCCCTGTATTTTGTCTCAGCTGCTGATGGTACCAATGTCGTGAAGGTAACGGTGGGCTGCAGAGCTCAGGGAAGGCCAAGTACTTAAGGGACCAGGGAAGCTGCGAAGAGAAGGGATGGTGGAGAGGACAGGCGTTGCTGCAGGGGCCGTGAGTGGGCGATCCAGAGTGAGTGGGGATAGGAATGGGTCATGGTTTGTTCTGACAGTAGGGGAGATGATGGGCCTGGGCTTGGCAGAAAAAGTACATTGATCGGGAGGTGAATCGAGGGGTGAACTTGCTGACTTTAGGGGTGGAGTGTTGTGTGGACATATGATGGGGACAGGGCACTGAGACCCACTGCCCTGTCTTCCTTCCTGCCGCCGCCACCTGCCCCCAGCTCTTCAATGACGCAATTCGATTAGCTGTGTCTTACAAACACAACTCCCAGGACTTCATGGACGAGGTTTTGCAGGAGCTTGAGGTAGGTCAGGGGGAAGTGTTAGATGGGATCAAGCTTCTCTGCAGAGGGTTGCAGAACGAAAGTCAGTAGAGCGGCTCCTGCCGGCCCTTCGGGAAATGCACGCTCATCATGCACGCTCCCCCAGAAGAGTCACACCCTCCCCCCCCACCCCGGGGAAGACATAGGGCCAGGCCTCACCTGCAGCCTTGTCCACAGAACTTTGATTTGGAGCAGAAGGAGGAGGAAGTGCCAGATCGAGCGCAGCACGGCGACACTGAGAGCCCCTCCCCTTCCTGAGTCAAAGACGGGGGCCTCGCTCCTCGTGGACTTTGGTGGGGGTGTCCTTCGGGATACCCTCCCATCAGCACCCCTGCAGCTAGGAATTGAAAAATTCTTGCCAGCCGTCCCCTCTACCTCCTGCGAGCCCACCCGTTCTGTTTGCCTCCCCGCCTACCATGGCCCATGACTCCTGACCCTTCCACAGTTGTCCTCTCCCCTGTCCTCAGGGACCGGGGTGGGGTCTGCACCAGCAAGCACCCTTGGCTGGTGCGAGACAGGCATAGTAGACCCTGAAGCAGAATTAGAGATCAGTACCCTCAGCTTCCCCAGCTTGTGCAGTGGCTGGGAAGAGCTTTAGGAAACATGCTTTGTGTGTCTCTCCAATAAAAGGAAATTGAGGTGTTTTCTCTCCCAGAATTGACCTTGGGGCCTACTCATTGCCTTTCCGCCAAGGGAATGATTTCTAATCGCTGACGGCCACGGTTCCCACCCCTACAGGTTCAGGGGGCCTCCATCCTTTTTCCTCTTTTTAGTCTCCCAACCAACTGTTTTTCAGAAATGGTTTTGAGCAGACATCTGTTCCTGTCACAGGACAGGTTTGCCTTGAAAGCCCAGGGAAACAGGTGACGAGTCCTGTCACCCTTAGCAGTACTGGGAAGCATGCCCATGTGGATTCAAAGAACTTCCCTTTACAGCCCCTGTTGCAGCAGATGATGCTTTCCTGCCTTTTTTAAGAACTGTTGTGAGTCCTGCCCCATGGGTGGGGAGAGGGGCACCCTGCTGCCTCCCCCACTTCTCTCCAGGACTCACGGGTCAGTAGTGTGTTTGTACGATTGCCTCGCCCATCATCATCATCATTTCCAGTGTCTTCATTTGTATAGAAAAATTCGAATTAACATAAACATCGCATGTATGTGCGTGCTTGTAGGTCTGGATTTCACTGAGCAAAAAGCCCTGGGAGAGCCATGATCATCACCTAGACGAATGAGGGCCCCTGCCTCCACCTGCCGTGTGAGGAGCCCGGTCAGCTCTGCCCTCACGGAGACCACTGCAGTGGGTTTTGGTTTTGTTTTTTAAGATTTTCTCAGAGAGAGAGAGCATAAATGGGGGAGAGGGAGGAGCAGGCTCCCCGCTGAGCAAGGTTAGGGCATGGATGCTGAGATCATGACCTGAGCCAAAGGCAGACACAACCAACTGAGCCACCCAGGTGCCCCGGACTTTAGAGTATGAAAAAGAACAAGTATTTATTTGGGAAGAACAAGAAGCAAGAACAAAGTTTATCTGCCTTTAAATTGCTAATACTTATAATTTCAACTGAAAATATTTACTTGACCCGGGATTTTGAGGAATGTGCTACCCTGGTGAGGTAGGCTTTTAAAAACTACCAAAAAAGGGGCGCCTGGATGGCTCAGTGGGTTAAAGCCTCTGCCTTCGGCTCGAGTCCTGGTCCCAGGGTCCTGGGATCAAGCCCCGCATCGGGCTCTCTGCTCGGCGGGGACCCTGCTTCCCCCTCTCTCTCTGCCTGCTTGTGATCGCTGTCTGTCAAATAAATAAATAAGATCTTTATAAAAAGTACCAAAAAAAAAAAAAAGCCCTTTGATGTTGTAAATGACCAATAAGTATTTTTTTTTACATAATGGCTTTATCAAGATTTCCTTCAAATACCAAAAAATTTCCCATCAGTATTAGTTTTACATAACCATTTTGCATCAGGTTCCCTCTGAGAAGGGAGCAGGAGAGGGCAGGAGGCCAGAACGCAGCAAGGGTGCGGTCTCCCCGCCCCCAGGGAGCTCTGGAGGGCAAACTGCCCCACAGAGTTGGTCCCACTTTGGACCAGGGGGTCTTCGAGTGGTAGTCAGCCACATGTGGGAGGAGGGGGAAGGGGAGGTGATGGCGCCTAGCCTCCATGGCCAAGGGGCTTCTGCCCCCTGGCCGCTTAGCAAGGGCGGCTCTCCGGGAACACGGGCAGGTGTAACCCTCAATTCTCACAGCAGCCAGGGGAGGACTGCCTGGGCAGGGTGCCAGGAGCGTCTGTGGCCACCCACCCTCACATGCTCAGATCACCTGCTCCTGGAAGTTCACTCCATCCTAAGACAGGGAATGCCACCCCTGGATCTTTTTTTAAGTATTTTATTGAGGTGAGACTTACATAACATAAAATTAACCATTTTAAAGTAAACGACGCAGTCCCATTTAGTACAGTTACAGTGCTGTTCAACTCTCACCTCTCTCTAGTTCTAGGTTATTTCCGTCACTCAGAAGTAAAACCCCTTGCTCATCAAGCAGCTTCTCCCCCCAATACCCTCTCCCTTCAGGTCCTGGCAGAGTCTCGGACTTTCTGTCTCGGTTTATACGTCCTGTACATTTCACATCCGTGGGATCCTACGCTGTGACCTTGTGTGTCTGGCTTCTTTCACTTGGCAACATGTTTCCAAGATTCATCCACATTTTAAATAGTTCATTCCTTTTTAGGACTGAACACGTCCCATTTTATATACATCCCACAGTTTGCTTACCCAGTCGCTCGTTGGTGGACATTTGGGCTGTTTCTACCCTTCAGCTGCGTGAATGTTGCTGCTACCACCAGGCTTGAGTATGGGCTCACAGCAGGGGCCTCAGTATTCTGATCTGGCTGTCCCAGTCTGCTCAGGCCGCCATCACCAATCACCGCTGACTGACATTTATTTCTCACAGTTCTGGAGCCTGGGAGCTCTAAGATCAGGTGCCGGCAAGGTTGGTTTCATTCCGAAGCCACTTTTCTTGGCCTGTCGGCACCTGCTGTCTCACTAAGTGCACACATGGCCTCTTCTTTGTTTTCCCGCAGAGATCTCTTTCTCTTCCCTCCGTACACAACCACACATCCTTTGACACAAAGGTTGGGCCCCAGCCCTATGACCTCATTTAGCATTAATTACTCCTCTCAATGCTTGGACTGCAAATACAGTCAACATTGAAGGTTAGGACTTCCACATATGAGTTCTGGAGGGCCATAATTCAGGCCATGGTACAGTGTGTATCTAGGAGTGGACCTACAGGGTCATATGGTAATTACATTTAATCACAATTAAACTTTTGAGGAACTTCCTGTCTTTTCCAAAGTGGAACCATTTACAGTCCTACAAACAATGCACAAAGATTCCAATTTCCCCACTCCCTAGCGAGCCCATGTTGTTTTCTACTTTAAAGACAAATCCAACCCATTTCTAGTGGTTGTGAAATGGTACCTCATTGTGGTTTTGATTTGCATTGCCCTAATGCCATGATGTTGTGCCTCTCTTCATATGCTTGTTAGCCATTTGTAAATTTTCTTTGGGAAAATACCTGTACAAGTACTTTGCCTATTTTTAAATTGGATTGTCTTTTTTGTTGTTGAGTTATAAGAGTTCTTTATATATTCTGGATCTAAATGCTCATCAGATTTATGATTTACAGCTATTTTCTCCCATTCTATAGATTGTCTTTAAACTTTGTGAATAATATCTTTCTTTGATGCATAAAAGTCTTTAATTTCTAAGAACTCCAGTTTGTCCTTTTTTTTGCTTGTTGCTCATGTTCTTGGTGTCATATCTAGAATCCATTGCCAAATCCGAGGTCATGAAGACTTAACCTTTATGTTCTTTTCTAAGAGTTTTGTGGCTCCAGCTCTTACATTTAGGTCATTGATCCATTTTGAGTTATTTTTTGTCCATGGCATGAGGCAAAAGTACACACCTGTGCTTGTGGACGTCCAGTTGTCCTGACAGCATTTGTTGCAAAGACTTCCTCTCTGAATGGTTTTGCCACCTTGGTCCCAGTTTGTGAATTTATTTCTGGACTCTCAATTCTATTCTGTGGTCTCGCTGTGTAACTTCATAGTACAGTTTTAAAAGTCCTTCAACTTTGTTCTTTTTAAAGATCGTTTTGACATCGTAACAATATTAAGTCTTCCAATCCACAAACCTGGGATGTCTCTCCCTTTGTTGGAGTCTCTAATTTGTTCCAGCGGTGTTTGTAGTTTTCACATACAAATCTTTCACCTCCTGGTCAACTTTATTTCCTGGTATTCTGCGAATGCTATTTCCTTTTTTTATTGCTCATCGCTGGTTATAGAAACACAGCTCACTTCTGTGTGTTGATGTTGTACCCTGAAACTGCTGAATCCTTTTAACCCTAGCTTTCTGTGGATTCTTGTGCACTTTCTATAAATAGAATCATACATGCCTACAGAAAAAGTTTTCACGTATTCCTTTACAATTTGGAAGCTTTTGTTTCCTCTTCTTGCCTACTTGCTCTAACTGGAACTCCCAGTACTGTGTTGAATAGAACTGGTAAAAGCAGACGTCTTTGCCTTGATCCTATCCTAGGGGGAGGTTTTCAGCTCTTTACTGTTGAGTATGGGTTAGCGGTGGGATTTTTCATGCCTTTATCAGGTATCATTTCATCTACATCATATAATTTGAGAGGTATCTACTTGTTTATAGTATTTTCTTATGTTTCTTTTTCTTTCTGTATAATTAGTAGTAATGTTACTTCTAATTTTTTATTTTAACTATTTTCACCTTTCTTTTTTCTTTGTCATTATAGCTAAAAGTTTGTCATTTTTGTTGATCTATTTAAAGAACCAACTTGTGGTATAATTATTCCCTCTCAATTGTTTTTCTATTCTCTATTTCATTTACCTCTAATGTTTATTCTTTCCTTTAGTCTGCTAGCTTTAGTCTGCCCTTCTTTTTCCACTTCCTTAAAGTGTAAAGGTAGGTTATTCATTTGAAATCTTTCTTCTTTTTTAACATAGACATTTATCACCATAAATTTCCCTCTGCACATTGCCTTTGCTACATGCCGTAAATTTTTGCACGTTGTGTTTTCATTTTCATTTGTCACTGAGTATTTTCTATATACCCTTGTGATTTCTTCTGTGATCCATTAAGCTTGTTTAAGAGCATTTCTTTAATTTCCACATAATTGTCACTTTTCCAGTTTTTCTTTTGTTGTTGATGTCTGCTTCACTCATTGTGGTTGGGAAAGATACTTCGTATGATTTCAGTCTTTTTAAAGTTATTGAGAATTGTTTATGGCCTAAAACATGGTCTGTCCTATGGAATGTTCCCTATGGGTTTGAGAAGAATGTGTATTCTGCTGTTGGGGAGAGTGTGCTATGTATGTCTGTTATAGGTCGTTGATTAACAGTCTTGTTAAAAGTCCTGTATGTCTTTGTGGACTTTCTATCTAGATGTTCCATCCACTGTTGGCAACGCAGTGCTGACGCCTCTGAATAGTACTGTAGCACTGCTTCCGTGTGTTCATGTTTGCCTCAAATATTCAGGGGCTCTGTTGTTTGGTGCATATAGGCATATGTGTTTTTTAGAGTATCTCTGTTTGTATTTTATCCTTTATACTTCTAATTAGCTTCTTGATAAATTGGCCGTCTTTTCAGTATCTAATGCCCTTCTTTGCCTCTTCCAACCACCTCGACTTCTGGTCCGTCTTGTCTGATATGGGTATGGCCACACCACGTCTCTGCTGGTTGCTGTCTGGATGGAGGATCTTTTCCACCCTCTCCCTGTAACCCTCTCTGTGTCACTGGGTCTCAAGCTCCTGTAGACAGCATGCAGCTGGATCTTGCCTCAAACCATTCTGCCAAGCTCTGCCTTTAACTGGAGACATCCGCTCATTTCCATGAGAAGTAACTTCTCATGCAAATGAGAAGGAAGGACTCCCTTCAGTCATTTCCTACGTGTTTTCTGTATGTCTTAACCTTCTCTGCACTGAGTCCAGATCTATTTCCGACCTTGGAAACGTTTGGACGAATCAAAATGGTGCCGCTGTCATTTCTTAGCATTCTTTAGTACTTCGTGCAGAGATTTTCAGATGCAGAACAGTGACCAGCCAACAGCACATTGCAAGAGTCCCAAAGTCCTCGGCTATTTAACGAAAC